TCTCACACTGCCATCCTTTTTTAAAGGTGTAACTATGGGTGTCTCCCACCTTGCAAAGTCTACCTGTTCTAAAACTCCTTGATTTATGAGTTTGTCCAGCTCTGCGTCTAATTTGGGCCTAACGGCAAAGGGAACTCTTCGAGGTTTCAAACGGACTGGGGTGGCTTGTGGACCCACATTGAAGGATATGGGGGTGCCTGTATAACAGCCCAGGTCACTGCTGAAGACATCAGCGTAGTCGTTAAAAAGGGCATCAACTTCAGAGTTTCTGACAGTGTGAATCCCTGTTATGCTAAGCCCCAGGGCAGGGAACCAATCCAGTCCTAGCAGACTAGGCAGGGCACCATCAACAACTACCAGTGGCAAGTAACCTCTAAAGTTTTGGAATTGAATAAGGAATCTTCCCTTACCCAGGACGGGGATGGTCCTTCCCTGGTAGTCCCGAAGATTCAGGTGGCAGGTGGTCAGCTTCCTCCTTGGGAACGAAGGCAGCATCTTCTTTAACGTGGACCATGCAATGATGGAGAGGGTTGACCCGGTGTCCACCTCCATATGGCAGGGTTTACCTTCTAAAAGAAGAGAAACGCTTATTTTGTTAGGGTTAGTGGAGACACTGCTTGCGTGATAACAAGTGTAGCAGCTTTTTACTTGCCTTTGGAAAGAGGCAGAGGTTCGGGATCTTGGGACAGGGGCTTGTTCAGCTTGACAAACTCTGGCTATATGCCCTTGCATCTGGCAGTTCAGACAAATAGCATTTCTGAATCTGCACTTGGCTCTAGGATGGTTTCCCCCACAACTCAAACAAGGGGATTGTTGTTTGGTGAACTGGCTGTTGTTTCTCCTTGGTGGAGCTAAAGGTGCTCTAGGGCGTGTGAGGCGATTTATTTCTAATGGCTCCTCTATTTCCTCCTGGGAGGCTTCATCGTAGTGGACTGTAGCCGTCCCTTGTCTAATGGAAGTACCTTGAATCTCAGCTGCAGACACTTCTGATAGCTCAGCAGCTTGAGCTTCTTCTAGGGCTAGGGCTAGGTTGAGATCTTTCTTGGCTAATAACCTACGTTGCAGCTTTAGATCTCTAACCCCCACCACCACTTGGTCAAGTAGCATATCATCAAGGTAGTCCCTGAACCCACAGTGGATGGCAGCAGATCTTAAAGCTGCCATATATTGGCTTATGGTTTCTCCCTCAGCTTGAACCCTTCTCCTAAAAGCTAGCCTCCTAGCTATCTGAGAGGGTTTGGGGGAATAATGGTTGGCTAGAATATCCTTCAGCTCTTCCCAGGGGATAGACTTAATGGGTCGTGGTGACACTAATGCTGAGGCAGTGTCAAAAACTGTAGCCCCACAAAAACTTAAAAAATAAGACATTTTCCTCAGGTCTGTAGCCCTAGACAAGTCTATAGCGTTTAAAAAACATTCAAATCTATTAATGTAGGATTCCCAAGTCTCTGTTCCGGGCTGGAAATGTGGGAAGGTCGGCGTAGATGCCATTTGAGCGATAACCGTGGGTGTGCTAGGTGAGGAAAAAATCAGCGGTCGCTTTTAAAAAAGCGTTTCAGCAGCGCCTGTCAGCGGCGTTCGGCTCCTCAGCTTTGGAGCTTTGAAGTTCGCGCTCTTTTGGAGAGCGCCGGCGGCGGTGACTTCACTCAGTAATTAGCGGCTTCAGCTCTTTCTCTGTGTGACTTCGGCTCAATTGTTTCGCCTGGACGTCTTTACTGCATCCCGCCCTCGTCGCCAGTGTTGTGGAGCGGCGGTTACAGAAGGGAGACGGAGCCAGGATAACGCTAACAGCTTTATTCAGGGAATAAAGGGTCGCCGCGGCTTCAGATGCAATCTGACAGCCAGCTGGCGGCGACAGCTGATGCCGTTTGACAGCTCCCTTTTATAGCCGGCTGTCAAACGGCATCAGCCAATGGGAGCGTTCGGCGCTCCCGCTCAGGCAGCGGACCAGAAGGAGAACTGCTGTCAAGTGCTAAATACATAACAAGAACAATCAACCAATGGAACAGCTTGCCCTCGGAAGTTGTGGGAGTGCCATCACTTGAGACTTTCAAGAAGAGATTGGACTGCCATTTGTCAGAAATGGTGTGGGGGTTTGGACTAGATGACCTACAAGGTCCCTTCCAACTCTGATTATCTGTTATCTGTTATCACTCTAATCAGCTAGTTAAGCCATAACACCTGCAAAGGGTTCCTGAGCCTTTAAATGGTCTCTCAGTCTGGTCCAGTAGGAATCACAATCATGGGAAAGACTGCTGACCTGACAGTTGTGCAGAAAACCATCATTGACACCCTCCATAAGGAGGGAAAGCCTCAAAAGGTAATTGCAAAAGAAGTTGGATGTTCCCAAAGTGCTGTATCAAAGCACATTAAAAGAAAGTTATGTGGAAGGGAAAAGTGTGGAAGAAAAAGGTGCATAAGCAGCAGGGATGACCGCAGCCTGGAGAGAATTGTCAGGAAAAGGCCATTCAAAAGTGTTGGGAACTTTCACAAGGAATGGACTGAGGCTGGAGTCAGTGCATCAAGAGCTACTACACACAGACAGATCCTGGACATGGGCTTCAAATGTCGTATGCCTCTTGTCAAGCCGGTCCTGAACAACAATGTCAGAAGCATCTTACCTGGGTTAAAGAAAAACAGAATTGGCCTGTTGCTCAGTGGTCCAAAGTCCTCTTTTCTGATGAGAGCAACTTTTGCATCTTATTTGGAAACCAAGGACCCAGAGTCTGGAGGAAGAATGGAGAAGCACACACTGCAAGATGTGTGAAGTCCAGTGTAAAGTTTCCACAGTCTGTGTTGATTTGGGGAGCCATGTCATCTGCTGGTGTTGGTCCACTTTGCTTCATTAAGTCCAAGGTCAACGCAGCTGTCTACCAGGAGATTTTGGAGTACTTCATGCTTCCTTATGCAGATGAGCTTTATGGGGATGCTGACTTCATTTTCCAGCAGGACTTGGCACCTGCCCACACTGCCAAAAGCACCAAAACCTGGTTCGATGACCGTGGGATTACTGTGCTTGATTGGCCAGCAAACTCGCCTGACCTGAACCCCATAGAGAATCTATGGGGCATTGCCAAGAGAAAGATGAGAGACATGAGACTGAACAATGCAGAAGAGCTGAAGGCTGCTATTGAAGCATCCTGGTCTTCCATAACACCTCAGCAGTGCCACAGGCTGACAGCTTCCATGCCATGCCGCATTGAGTCAGTAATTGCTGCAAAAGGGGCCCCAACCAAGTACTGAGTACATATGCATGCTTATACTTTTCAGAGGTCCAATGTTGTTCTATGTACAATCCTTGTTTTATTGATTGCATGTAATATTCTAATTTTCTGAGATTGTGGATTTGGAGTTTTCATGAGCTGTAAGCCATAATCATCACAATTATGACATATCATGGCTTGAACTATCTTGCTTTGCATGTAATGAGTCTATCTCATATATTAGTTTCACCTTTTAAGTTGCATTACTGAAATAAATGAACTTTTGCACGATATTCTAATTTTTTGAGTTTCACCTGTATATTCATTTGCTCTGGGACTATATACCCTTTACAAAAAATAACCCCACTTACTCTTTTTTTGAACATGTGTTAAGGCACAGGTGTCAAACTCAGCATGTCACGATGTTACCTAACGATGTCACCCAACATTGCAACTTTTGCCTTTGCAGAGCTGGGGTTGGCATGGCCTGTGTGTGACACATCTGGCCTGTGGGCCACCAGTTTGACACCCCTGCAGGGAAATTACAAAGCTACATGAACTTCTAAGTTCATGTTTAGAAATAGTGAACTTGAAACTAGCTATTGACTGTCTTAATCTGTACTGGGATAGATGAAATTATTAAATGCCAAGATTCCCTTGAGTGGAACACAAGTGCAGGTGAATGCATGGACACAATTGTCAGTTTTCTTCATGAAGAAAATTTCCAATGTTTTCTTCTACAATTTTTTTATAAATTTCTCAAGAGTAGGAATTCCCTAGTGGCCTGCCATCGAAATAACCTGGTCTGTCTTTGCTTTTTCAAAATCAGCCAAGGTCAACTAGGTGCTACAAGTCTGCTGTGGCATGCCATTCATTGTTCACATTCACAATTGTATAAATTGTAAGGGGAAGTTTTGCCATGTGGGTTTAAGATAACAACAGGGATGAACAAGAATGTCTAATTTAGATGTTTAATTCAAAAATCTTTATAAATTTTAGATAGGATTTTTGTGCCTTATCTCAGTAAATTTAGAGGACACTTGTTTGATGTAAGTAATATTAAGGTAGACTGGCAATTTTTTGGTGGATGTTTTCATAAACAGTTGGGATTGCAGGATCCACAGTGGAAACGATATTGCTATGATTTGGAGCAAAATTCAGAGGGGGCGGTTCTTAGTGGGCTTTGACAATTTTAAAAAAAACTGTTTAAGTCTATTTTAGGACAGGTAATAGTTGTTCAAATTTTCCTGTTTCAATATTGGAAGAAAGCACACTATTTTTCAGTAATGTTCAACAGGGATTCGAGAAAATATGCAGAAACTTCAGTTTGCCTACCTTGGAGAAGCATAAAATATCAAGAAAGTGTCTTTCTGTCCCAGTCTGATGTTGCTTTGGAGTGGGGAATAGTGGGGATTCAGCTCTTGTTTTCTAACGTAGTTATGCCAGACCAGGGACAATTTACTGAGACTTTATCCTGCAGGCTGTTGAGGGACAGTGACGTTTTCAGAAATGAACAATAAAACCATCCACATTTCCTGCAGAAGGAGGTCCTGGTATCCAGGAGTCCGCCAGTTTAGAATAGGTATGTTATTGGGTTTAAAAATATCTGCATATAATGAATATCCATGCTCCCAACCCAAGCAAGGCACTAAGGAAGACCTTTGCTCTCCTAGGATCCTATTCACATGGCTGCTATCTGACATTAGGCATGAAAGAGTTAACGAAGGGGCTTCTTTTCATGGGAAGGCGAGAGAGACGAAAAGAGAAGTGTCCTGCATTCCCAAAAATGCACCCTGCCAAAAGCAGCCGTTTATATCATGGGTTGTTGCCTCGTTCCCACACATTTTGCTCCTAATTAACGTCCTGCTGGACAGCTGAGCTGTTTCAAACAGGAAGCTGTTTATAGATAACGCTTGCAAACGGTTGGGCCTGATTTGCTGGATGGTCGAAGAGCAGCAGTTGAGCCCACTTCAAATTAAAACCTATCGGACTTTTGTAAATAGTAGCAATGAGGTCCATCTGTGGTGCAGTGCCCTTTCAGTCAGCAGTTCAGCTACAGCGCCTCTTCTCTCAGCAAATCTAAGGTAGGTAATGCTAAGATGGTTGTGCCAGCCAAAAGCCTGGCTTAAAAGAGAGTAGGCTGCATAATGTGTATATATATATATATTTTATGGAAACTGGATAAAAAGGAGTACTGAATTTTAGATCAGGGCTGAGTTGAGATCAGTCTGGAATTGTTGCAATGTAGGTCATCTAATGTCATAGAATACAGACTGGCTCATGTCTTTACATCGAAAAAGTTATTGAACATCTGAAATTGATTTTTATAGTGTTCAGGATTGCCTAGGAGTATATTTTTTATTTTATGCTGTTCTATTATAAATTAGTTGTTTCTTGGTACAGAGTGTGTTGCAGAAAGCATAAGGAGAACAGCGAGTTTTTTTTTTATTTAAGCAGCAAATAAAATGCTACAAAAGCACAAAGCATTATCTTCACAACTTGTACAATATCTGGAATTGAAAAGTTCAGCTCTGATTCTTCCCTCTCATGTGTGCCCACAATGCTAAGGAGTATAGAATATGGACTATAAAGTGTTGGTTGAAGAATATGAAATACAGTAGTCCAAATTTAATTTTTCCTTTCAAGCAGCTGCTAGAGATCTGGAGCATCCTTCCCTAAACCAGTCCTCTTCAAGTAGGCAAACCATAAAATTATCACTTCCAACTAGGCTATAATTTATAGTCTCTAACTTTGAACCCTGACCTCAAGTTTGTGACTGTACTTTGTGATCACTCAGGATTGAGTGTGAGATACCCTGTGTGTTCTCACAAGCAAGTTTATTGTACTATATTACGATTGCTAACAAATTTTTGGAATAGATCCCCTGGTTTGGAAAAAAAGATGTGGACCAATGTTTTGGTACAGTTAACTAAAATTAAGTGCTATTTCCAAATAAGTCTATTTCAAGGAAAAGGAACAAAAGAGGACGTCTAAATCTAAAAAACAAAAACAGAAGGTGAAAGAGCTTTGAAAATAATGAAAAAAGCAGATAAATGGGTTGGCAAAGTAGGAAAATGTTATGGAGATGAAGAAAAGCAAGAAAAAATAAGAAAACAAACGATCATAGAAAAGGATGTATTTAAAATAATGCAACTGTTTCTGTAGGCATTGAGAATTGTCTGACTGTTTTCCCTCTAAGGCAAACAAATTTGTACAATGAATTATATATTTCCCACCTCCAGAACTCTTTTTAGTTCACAAAAGAACAAATAGTGTGGAGAGGAATAAGTTACAGAGTAAACAGAACTCTTTGTTTCTTTCCATATCCTTTTTATATCATCCTCCTACAGATTTATTTATTAAATGTATTATTAAATACATAAATTTATTAAAGCAAAATCACAATACTTATATTAAGCATTTCATGCTACTGTCCAAAACACAGGTAGATTCTGATTTCCCGACTATATAGAACTGTATGTCTACAAACATCTGTTTGTATTTGGAGACTAACTGAATAGGTCAGTTCTGATAGGTACAACCATGTATTTTCACAACCCTCCTGATATGTTGCATAGACTATGATGGCTGGTTCAATACATACGAAAGGTTGATGTCAGGAAAAGCCAAGCTGCTCTGAAACTCTAATTGATTCACTAACCTGAGAAAAGAACGAAGAGATTAAGCAGTAGTTAATTTTTTAAAAAAAGCAATATTCAAAAAGGAGGAAGAGTTGCTTCTTATCCTTGTCAGCTACCCCATGCTGGTTTATTTTATTTTTAATATCATAGGCTGGTGGGTTCTTTCAACAATAAAGGTGAGCTTGCTGAATCTATATAATGTGTTTCACAGCAGCTTAATTCATGCTGATCCTTATTTAACAGAGCTTTCTTGGTTTACAAGACATTCAATCATAAATTAATGATATGCACTCAACACATTAATTACAAGCTTCAGCTAATGTACTAAATTGTGGTTAGTTTGTATTTAAGCATATTGTACAAATCAAGTTATTATTGGAATGGTATATTTATACTGTTATGTGTACCCTAACCCACACATAAAATATTTGAGCAGAAATTAAGATGAATAATAGATCTGCTAGGGGAACTAATCAAGATTGATAGAAGTAACTGAAAACCAAGGAATGCGTTGCCATTTTTTCTTGCACAACTCTAGGCACAGGTGTTTTTGCTTCATTCGGAAACAAGATCTTAGCCTTTATTCTTTCTTAGTTGACTTAAAACTGCAGGAAAAGGCAATTTTATACATTTTCCCATCATATCATTTGGACTTGGGATTTTTCCCAAAGATTCTTATTTTTCCTTCAACTGAATTTTTTTAGCAGTGTGGAATTGTGTTCATGACTTCCCCAGGGAACCTTTATGCAGATCACTCTCATCATCCACTAAATTAGGTTTTTCTTTCCAATCTTTTTTTGTGAGTGTGTATGAAGGGCCATTCCTTTTTTTCTGCAGATTTTGAACAAGTATACCAAGCCAAACTCTTTTCTGTTGGCTTAAATATAGATTATGATCTAGGGGAAAATATATTTGTGTTGCAGACTCTCACTCTGCTAAACCTGAGTGTCCCTTCCCAATAAAATATATTACCAAAAACTTTGCAACTTAACAAGCTATCATATATTAAAGATATCTATTAATATGCTGTAAAGTTTATTGTGTCCTTAGAAGATAGTGAACACATTAGAACTGTCCAAAATATTTAGAATCCCTGTTAATGGTTTATTCATTTTTCCTCCCTTTAGGAGTAAGGGACAAGCTCATTATGAAGAGTGATCTGGTTTTCTTTGTCTCTGTAATTAGCCTTGCATTCCTGTCTCTTCCAAGATCTGGATATGCTCAACATATTGCAGAGGAATCCTGCTCTGTTCAGATTCTGGTTCCAGGCCTCAAAGGTAATATGCATCTCTCTTCCCACAAATAATCAGACATTCCTTTTTCATTTTTATTGATCTGATGGCATTCTAGTAATTGTCAGTGGGATTGCATTCTCTTAGTGAAATAGGCCAACTTTTCTCTTAAGCTTTTCCTTGTCTGGAGCAATTGGCCTATAATAATGAAACAGTCATTTGAGTTGCCGCTTAAGCAAACAACCATAGAGGGCTTTGGATGATCATAAACAATCCTTCCACAGAATTCCCAATAAACAGCCACACAAAACTTATTTGCTAAACTAAGTATATCTTTCTAATTTTCTTGGATACTGGCCCTGAAAACATTTTCTGCTTCTCTCCTTTTAGTTCCTCACTTATACTATTTCATTTTCTTAGAACATATTGATACCTGTACACCAGGGGTGTCAAACTCACATTGTCACGTTGTCATCACATGATATATTGTGACTTCCCTCCCTTCACTAAAATAGTGTGGGCATGGCCAGCGCGTGATGCATCTGACCCGCCGGCTGCGAGTTAGACACCCCTGCTATACACCAACAAAAAACTGACAAATATTTTACAAGAGAATGAGTTTAATTTGCATAAACAGAATGTAGAATTCAGAGGACAATAACAGGCCTTATTTCTCTTATTTCATGTCCTTATTTTATACACATTAGCTGGTTTGTTGCCGTTTTTGACCCATTCTGTGACTGCAATTACTTAATCATTTATATTTCAGAGGGGCAAGGTTAGATAGAGTGGATATTTTGGAAATGGTATGCTTGGTTATTAGTGATTTGCTCTTCTCTACTTTAGTCATATTCTGTGTTTAGAATTGTCAAAACTCTGAAAAATATTACTAACTTATTTGGATTATCTTAGTAGCTTGATCAATAGCAATAGCAATAGTACTTAGATTTGTATACTGCTTTACAGTGCTTTACCGAGCCTCTTTAAGTGGTTTTACAGAGTCAGCATTACAATTTGGGTCCTCATTTTACCCCACCTCAGAAGGATGGAAGGCTGAGTCAACCTTGAGCCTGGTGAGATTTGAACTGCCAAATTGTGGGCAGCTGGCAGCCAGCAGAAGTCACCTGCAGAAGTAGCCTGCAGTACTGCACTCTTACCAGTGCACCACCATGGCTCATAATTTTATATGTAGTCATCAACAGGGCTGGGCTCTTTATCATGAAAATAAGAATCGCCAACAGTGTAAGCAAATGGTAGTTCTGTTGCAATGAAGTTGGGAGGCCTTACGATACAAAATAAAAATGAAGGACAACATGACACCTTCACATACATTTGATGGTTAATTCTGGAAGAAATAGAAACCATTTGGGAATAAGCTTTTTATTCTTCTTTTGACCAAAGATTTTAGAGAAAACTGTCATGTGTGGTATATCGCCTCTGATTTTGAGATAATTGTTGAAATATTATAGGGACTACTGGAATTAGTAAAATCATCAAATCTTTTATCAACACAAATATAGCTGAATGACTGCTACAACAGTTGCCCCAAGTTGGAGTTAAGCAGTCTTTGTTACTTTTTCACTTCACTGTATTTCATTAATGTAGATTGGGGGCGGGAGTATTTTCTTTTGATAATGTCAGGATGTAATCTTTGTATTCTTGTTAACTGTTTAGTGAGCTTATTCTCCATTGTATATTCTATTATTGTATTTGCTCAATGAATTGGATGAAATAAATTAGTTTTCTGAAGACACTCATGCCACAATAAAATTTTGTTTAAAGTGCTGTGGTGCCTCTTACTGCTTCAAAGACATCTTCATGAATTCACCCTAAAAATGGAATCATAGTTGGGTCAGTGTTTCTAGAAATAGCTCCCTGTCTCCAAAATGTACCCTTGAATTGAATCCAAGCAGTGTAATTATAATAAGATATCCAAAACATTCCAAGTTAAAATGGCCGTGCCTGTTTCTTGCATTTTGTTATTTTAGAGTTATTCACGCAATTAAAAAGTACCAGCATTTTTTTTGCATTCATGAAAAAAAAACACCAATTGACCTAGAGTTTATTTAAAGTAATTGAAAAGACCTCTGCTTGTTCTATGCTTGAGAAGGGGGATGGGATGCTTGCTTCTGATTTAAATATTTCATTGAGTGAGAAAACTGCTGCGTTTCCTATGAATACCATACTTATTTTTTAAACTTTTTAAAAGAATAGTTTATATCAGATTTTTGCCATTTGTGTATTATGTAGTAATCACTATTGTCTCCCATCCAACTAATTCAGGAGACCTAGGGGGAAGAAATGCTCTTCTGCTCAAGCTGTTTCAAGTTTTTATCTGCAGAACAGAAGCCAACTTGAAACATCCTAACGGAACAATTTGCGGAGGGTTATTTTGTTCTAAATGTTAAACACAATATATTTTCTATTTTATGTACATCTCTATTATTAAATAATTGTAGATTATTTCTCTAATATACATTCTTTTTTGCTGATGTGTATTCTCTCTTCTTTTCTTATAAAGATTTCTCCTCAAGTGCCAGTTGGTCTAATATTGAAAGTGTTGGCCTAGAAACTAGGAAATTGTGAGTTCTAGTCTTGCTTTAGGCATGAAAGCTGTCTGGGTGACTTTGGGTCACTCAAGTCACTCTCAGCTCAACCCACCTCACAGGGCTGTTGGGAAAAATAGAAGGAAGAAGTATTGGATATGTTTGCCGCCTTGAGTAACTAAAAAAGGAGACGTAATAAAATTTAAAAATAATAATATTTGTCCCACAATACTTGTGAACTAGGGACTGAGCAATTATGCAGAAGAAAAAAGCTGTTAAACATGAAGAATTAAGGCCGAGGAAGTTTTATGAGTGATAGTTGTGTGGGGAAACAGAGAAAGCATTGGTATGATTTACAAATAAACTAAGTTAGGATTTAGTTTCCTAACTTTCTCATACAGATATTGTAAGGCTACAATAACCTTAAATCCTGAGCTGAAGAAGCAGTCTTTTATTATTGTAAGGAAGCTTGGAATACGGAAAAAGGAAGAAAATAAAGCAGAAATTGACTAATGGAATATAGTTGCTTTTCTCAGTTGTAAAATTGAGTCTGATTTATTTAACAGAATATCTTTAACAATCTTGACTAATGTATGGGTGCTAGGGTTACCTGTGTCTGAGTTGGGTGGTGATATACATTTGTTTAATGAGTAAATAAATAAAAAATGAGTTCAGCCTATAAGCCATGTTGTGCTTATTCATAATCTGAACCCAGCATCTCTTGTTCCACAAGACCTGGGTTAGAATAAGATATGAATGTAGCCATTGTTTTCTTCACCTCTTTCCGTTGAAGTGTTGTGTGTATGATGGGAAAGCATGGACACATTTTTTTAAAACCAACAATAACTATATGAATGAATTTCTAATAAATACAAAGTGCTGGAAACATGGACAATTAATTGAAGAGACTTATTTTTCAAAAAGAAAGCTTAAAAATCTCATATCTTTCTATATCTCCAATATCTTTGTTTATTGCTGACCTCTCTATTTCTGTTGTCTGAATCTCTCTCTCTCTCTCTGTCTCTCTGTCTCTCTCTCTCTCTCTCTCTCTGTGTGTATGTATGTATGTATGTCTTTTTCACTCTCTTTAGAGTTCTCCTTTTTTTCTGCAGAGTTCAATCTTTTTTTGATTTCTGCTTTCTATCTCTCACCCAAATAAGTCATTTTTTTCTTAATCTTTCCCGCTTTTTGTTCCTGATGGGGCTTCTTCATTCTTTTCCTATTTTTGCAAATATTTGCTCCGTCTGAGGAAAATGGCTCACAGAGTGTTTAACCTCATGCCAGTATGAGGGAAGGAAAGAATCATATCTTTCTTTCCACCTTTCTCAGCTGCTGCCTACTTTCCTGCTGCATCTTCTCATGTGTGCTGTCTAACTTTAAGTTTCCCCTTTTACTTTGACTCCTGGGCTTTGGTTCTGTTTATTTAGCCTATGGCTACAGAGCTCTCAGGCAGCCATCATGTCTTTTCTCTCTCTTGCCTCACCCCAATACTGCTGTTCGATTGGCAGGTGGATTGCCCTGACAACGGGGGAGGGATATGAAGGGAGGAGGAGGAAGAAACATAGGTGATTCTCACCCGCTCCAGCAGTCTGTCCTTGGACACCTTTCCAGATTGCTTGCTTGGCTTTCTGGAATGTCTCTTCCTCAGTGAAAAGCACTGATTTCTACACACCCCTATTGTCTTGATCTTTCTCAATGTCCAAAAAAGAATATGGCTCCTTATAGAAGAAAAAAAGTGGACAATATTATTAAATGGGGGTGTTTGTATCTGTCTGCTTGGTAATGCAGTTTCATATGCTATTTCTTATTGGCCCAGTCTTTGCATTTTGACCCCTTCTTTGGAAATCAAACTGGAAGTAGTGTATCTTCATTTCCCCTCTTGATCTGCAAAACTGAAACTTTACGATGAGAAAAACTGCACAGCTTTGCTCAGTTTGCCTGAACAATTGGCAGTGTTTTGCAAAAAAAAAAAAAAAAAAAACCCAGTCTGCTAAAATGTGACGCACTAAGGCTAACAATTATGCATGATTCTGGAGTTCTAATAATAATTGCTCTTTTATCAAGGAAACGGGAACACTGAGATATAAAACTAAAAATATGAAAGCCTGAAGGAAAAAAACAAATTTGTTCATGCTTCAGCACAGTCTCTCTAATTAGAAGCTGTAGTCATAATGGCGAGGGAGATTGATGCAGAAATGCAGTGAAGCACAAAATGACCTACCTACGAAGTCTGCAGCTAATGTAAAATCTCTAAAAAGTCATCAGTGTCTGAGCTAAACTGTCAGGGGGGATATCTCCCTGGCTTAGATATACACTAATGAAATATAGAGTCTTTCATCTGTTGGCTGAAATCCAGTGTGCCCTTGACTTCTATGCAATTTGAGTCTTAGTACTGCAGACCAATCATATTTCTTCAGGGAGATGTTAGGAGCAGCTTCTGAGAGGGCTAAGACGTTAAACCAAGGAGCCATGTCATCTGAAATGACCAGATGTCTGAGATGCTATTACTAAAATCTAGGTAGCATGATAGATACTGCTGTTCCTGGCAATAAATGTGTAGTGATGGGAGAGAGTAGCTGTACCCTACTGTTCCTTCCTTGCTTTTAGCTACACTTCTACACTTGCTATTGCTTCCAGCTATTCTCAGTAAGGTGAAGGAGGCACTCACATTAACAGTGTTGAACTTTTCGCTGAAGGATAATACATTCTTACCTCAGACAATAACCTTAGGTAGACTCTGGTTACTTGCTAAAAGTGACCTTGACAACTGCACTCTATACCCAGTATATTCCTTATATTGTCACTCCTAAGGAGAAGATTAGATTTAATTAGTATATCTGAAGGTACAGTATTTCAAGGACCTTCACTGTTTTGTTGTGTGATGTTATTCTCCTTGTTCTATACTTTAACTCTATACCTTGTTCTGTATTTTAAGTCAAGGAACCTGATATCTTAACATTTTTAAAGAAAAAATTAACAGAACAGGCACTGAGTAAATGCAGAGGATCTGATCAGTAATAATCAGCTGTTATTACTGTAATTACAATAACCTTGTCTACATGAGTGATATGCATGATGGTCATCCTGTGATCCTTTAGTAGTGGTATTGCTTACCCCTGAAAAAACATGTTTGGAAAGAGCGGCTTATTGTGTGAACCAGCTACCAGCTCAGTAATGATGTAGGTCCTTGAGGTATCTAACTAAATATAATCTTCTCCTTAGAGGAGAAAATATAATGAATGTTCTGGCTGTGGAATAATGCAATCAATAGTCAGATCAAATATAATTGCATCCTTCATGTAAAAAACCTGGACAATCACAAGGTAGCAGGAAAGAGGGACAGAGAACTTTGATTTCTTTTTGCCATCTAGTTTCTTCAGACCAAACCAAAAGCCAAACTACTTCCCCCTTCTATTAGTTGAAATTTGTATATAACTTTCTCTTATACTTGCTTTTTGAAATCCATTATGTTCCCATTGTCTATAAAGTCTGAAGTTCTGTAGTAAAACACCTATTTTTTCTGTTTTCCTTTAAAAAAAAAACACCTTCTAAATGTAAAAATTGAGAGAGATGGTGAAGTGATGAGAAGAACACTACATACATAAACAGGACAAACAATATTAATGATGCTGTCATTTTCATTACAAAAATTGAATTCTGAACATAATATCACTGAATTTTGAATAATTTGTTTCATTTTACCTTATGTTTTATTACATAATAGGGGAAAATGGAGAAAAGGGGGAAAAAGGTGCTCCAGGCCGTCCTGGGCGAGTTGGACCTCCAGGGGAAAAAGGTAAATCTTATTTTAAAAATGGATTAAGCATTGGATTAATATTGCTTAATAGTAAATGGAGAATATACTATTTGTGTATATTTTCGTAAGGTCACAGTTGCATATATAGGTTTGTACCTAATTAAACTCAATTTAAATATTTTTGATTTATTAAAATTAGCATGTATGTGGAATGGTTTATTTGAGAATTACTATATATTGTGTTGATTGAGTTTTGTAGTGGAAAATACAAAATATTGAAACATTTAGATCTGTCCCTCTTATTTTGGTGCCTAGAATTAGGAAAGTGTTCCCAGTAATGGGGGGGGGGGGGAGTGGACAAGCTAATAGCAGCCCAAAACGACCCAAAGTTGCTGAGCAGAACCTCACCCTGATTGCAACAGCAACCTCATTATTGGGAAAGATACCAGATCTTGCCCCAAATAATAATTGTTTCTGGAGAAGATGAAAAATTACTGCTTGAAAGAATTAAAGAGTTAAGAATCACGCAGTGATCTGGAAAAGCTCTTCATTTTTTGTGTTTGATAAACTGCAATTCCATATTTAGCCTTATTTCCATAGCGAGAATGTTCCATAGCTCAGGTGCTACAGCAAAAAAAGTCCTATCTTCTGGGCCCAGCCGGCATTCCTTAGGCAGTGGGATACAAAACGTGCCCATCCAGCCTGACCAGATTGGAAGGATACAAAAGACTGGGAGAAACATCTCTCGAGTAAAATTTTCCAAAATCAGCATTATTTGCAATTCTAATTTGTTGTCTCTGAAGCTTTAAGCTCTAAGAAAATGACACAAGCCAATAATAAAGATGGATCCTTTTTATCTGGAGCTTTTTTTTTTAATAAACACATGCTGGTGTGCACGATTTTCTTTGAATTATCATTATTGTGTTAACTTTTTCTCTTTAGCGTGTATACTCCAAGCAAATATGATGCACTTTCCCCATGGACCATGGTTAACTGGAAGTAATTCTTTCAACACACATTCTCCCTTTTCTTTTTATCCTCTTTTTGCTCTTGCACATTCTGTTCCTTTCAGCTTTAACTAGATTTAGTTTTAATTAAGACATGCTATAATGTAGACAGATAGGGTGTTAGAAGTTCATAAAAACAGAAGTCTTTATTTGTCTTTGATTTTTTTATATTATAGGAGAAGTGGGAGACAAAGGGCAGAAAGGTAGCATGGGGCGACATGGAAAAGTTGGTCCCTTAGGCTCAAAAGGTATATTTTTCTTCATTCTGTATTAAACTTTGAGCAATATATTAAGTTTAACTGTTGCACCTGGTTGCACAGGCCTGAGGCGAGGTGCATGAGTAAAAATCAAGCTACGGTGGGGTGGGGGTGGAGCTGTCCTATGTGTCCCACACCCACTTACTTTCGGGCAGTTGCAACCAGGCCTCGCACACCCTGACACCTGCCTCGCCTTGCTGGCCCACTTCTTCTGAGGCAGCTAGCCACTGTTTGTGCGTGCTGCCCCCAGCCTCTATTTCACTGTTGAAGGCCTTCAGGAAAGGCCTGTGCAGCAAAGAAACAAGGTCTGGATTGACGCATGCATCAGAACTTGTTTCTTGGATGCAGAGGCCTTTCCTGAAGGCCTCTGATGGTGAAATGGAGGCCAGGGACGTCGCATGTGAGCGGCAGCAAGCAGCCGCAGAAGAAGTGGCCCAGCAGTGGCCACATGGCCTCCTTCTGGGCAGGGCTGTTGGTGCCGCTGCCATGACAGTGGAAGACATCCCCGAAATCCTGAAGCATCTTACATTTTATTCCTTAGTTGCAGGAATGTATTTTCTTCAAGAAATGAACAATGTAATTCAATAAAATTATATTATTTTGATTTTGAAACACGTTTATGTGTATGTTACATTTGATTTCATTTGACATTATTTTCCCAGTTATGTATGGTAAAGATAATATCTAAGCTTAATAATGTATTGATATTGGATAAAATCTCATTTGCTGATAAGTTCAATTGTCTTTTTTCTTAGGACAAAAAGGAGATAATGGAGATATAGGTCCACCTGGTCCTAATGGAGATCCAGGTAAATAATATCAGAACTGGCTGACTAACTCTCAAAGTCCATTTTGCAATTTAATAAAACTCTGGAGTTAAGTGAACAATGTTAGTGTCTTAAAAATAGGCTTAAGAAAGTATGACAGGGCATGTTAGGACTGTGTAATTTCTACACTTGTGCAAGTCCTCCTCCTGTGTTCACTAATACAGGTAGTCTTACAACCACAACTGAGCCCAAGATTTATGTTGCTAAGTGAGACACTTGTTAAGTGACCTTTCTTGCCACTGTTGTTAAGTGAATCATTGCAGTTTTTAAGATAGTAACACAGTTAAGTGAATCTGGCTTCCCCATTGACTTTGCATATCAGAAAGTTGCAAAAGGTGATCACATGACATTGGGACACTATGACCATCATAAATATGAGTCGGTTGTCAAGCATCTGAATTTTGATCATGTGACCATGGGGAAGCTGCTACGGTTGTGTGAAAAACGATCATAAGTCATTTTTAACAGTGCTGTTGTAACTTGGAACTAAATGAACTGTTGTAAATCGAGGAATACCTGTACACTTGAACTAGTGTCTTGTTTTCACCATATATTCCTATTATACAGGAAATTACAGGAAGGAATCTCAATGAGAACAATCTATCTTTAATGTGGTCATGTTGCATCAGAACAGAAAAGCCCTGCTTAAATACAGTTAACAGAGTTCTCTGTTCAGGAAAAAAAAAAGTTATTATTCCCATGGGTCTTCTCAGAAGTGGTATTCAGCAGGTTCTGACCAGTTCTAGAGAACCGGTAGCGGAAATTTTGAGTAGTTTGGAGAACCGGCAAATACCACCTCTGACTGGCCCCACCCCTATCTATTCTCTGCCTCCCGAATCCCAGCTGATTGGCTGGGTCTTCTTTTGTTGACCTGCACAGGAGAACGGAGCTGGAAAGCAGGTTAGTGGGGTGCGGAGGGAATGGGGATTTTGCAGTAACCTTCCCCCAGGAGTGGGGCGTGAATGCAGATTTTGCAGTAACCTTTCCCTGCCACACCCACCAAGCAACGCCCACAGAACCGGTAGTAAAAAAAAATTGAATCTCACCACTGGGTCTTCTCCATGGGGAAGCCTGTGTAGAGAAGATGAGCACTTGAAGCCAAAGTAGAACAATCAAAATATGAATTTATATGACTTTCAGGACTGGCTGTTGGTGAACACCGAAGAAAGAGTATTATTGTAATGCACTTATATCTGGTTTATGGGCCATTTGTCAAAATTGGGTTGGGCTTAATGGAAAAAGAATGTTCCATTAAGTAGGCCTTTGGACTGCTCTTATACTTTAGGTATTCCTTGTGAATGTGGCCAGCTACGAACAGCCATTGGTAAAATGGATAATCAAGTGACCCTGCTGACAACAGAGCTGAAGTTCATTAAAAAAGGTAGGAATGTTTATGGAAATATATTCCCCCTCCTAAATAAAAGGAATTGCTTTCCGAAGAACCTGGCTTGCTTTTTAGTTGGTCAGCTGTGTCTGTCTTATATGGAATGCATTAAGTAAGTTTATAGAAATGCAAGTGGTCACTTTTCAGCACTGCCCTCCCCCGCAGCTGTTGCTGGTGTGCGTGAGACAGATAATAAGACATACCTGCTGGTGAAAGAACAGAAGCGGTATGTGGATGCCCAGCTCTACTGCCAAGGAAGAGGAGGGACACTGAGCATGCCCAAGGATGAAGCCACCAATAATCTCATTGCTTCTTACATCAATCAAGCTGGCCTCAGCCGAGTTTTCATTGGCATTAATGACCTTGAGAAGGAAGGCAGCTTTGTCTACTCTGACCGATCCCCTATGCAGACCTTCAACAAATGGAGCACCGGTGAACCAAATAATGCTTATGATGAGGAGGACTGTGTAGAAATGATCACCTCTGGGGGCTGGAATGATGTGGCTTGTCACATTACAATGAATTTTGTATGTGAATTTGACAAAGAAAATGTTTAATAAAGTTTCCCCCTGCCAGGCTCTCTATATGCATTTCTTTGGGGAAAGTTCAATAATTTGGGCAGTCCCACTATTATTGTAATCAGTACTCCAATTTCTGGATTGATTTTATATGGAAGTTGGTTTCTTGTTTATGAGATCCTTTGTATCAGAGTGTAAAACTATCCCAAGGTAGTTTTATCCTCATCCATCCTTTTATTCACATTTTTTTCAAGCAATCCCACCTATCAACACATACATAATTAAAAAGTTTTGTTAAAATTTTTCTTTCTTTTGTGCAGGTCTTGAGTATGGACCTTTCCCTCTATACTTGTGAGTATAGTGGGGTACAGGTAAGAGAAAAGTAATGTAGGAAATAAACCTTATTTATTAGCTATGGCTATAGTTACCCACTATGGAGAAGGGTGGTATTATTTCTCATGTGTTTACTTCGTTCTTATTTGGCATTAGGTTTTGGTTTTGTTATTAATAAAACCATTTATGGTGTTTTAATCTTAGAAAAACTCATTTTTTCAGGATGACTTAGAAGTAACTGTTTTGCCATTTTACCTGCAGAAAACATGAAACCACAATATGTCTACTGGTTTTGCCTCAAAATATTATATTTGTGTGTGTCAGTATATACACATACAGGGAATCACATTGTTTAGCTTTCCATGCAACAGGTAAAAGTGCGAAATATCTCTTGCATAGCTGAAGATATGTGGCTGACTAGGTAGGTTCATTCCTGTGCAATACACAAAGAAGTGTCTAACAATGTAATAAACTGTTTTACATAGCAAAGCTACTCAGAAATCCACTAATTTTTGAAATGAAGATTTTTATCATTTTAATAGGACTTTGTAAAAATGCTTCCCAGCTGAATACCGTCTGTAATCTGGATAGAAGTTGGCACATAGGAACATAAAAAAAACTTTTAAGCCCAGCGTCGAGAAGTTATTGAACAATGGTAGTAAAATGTAAATATCAGGAAAAGCAATAAAAGATTTTGGTTTGTAAACTAACCCTAACCCCAATTACTCCTAATGTGATGGGTTATAATATGTTTAGAAATATATATTAGTATTGTACAGCTGTAAATATAATCTAGGTATTTCTAGGTATTTCAAATATCAATTCCCCTTAGAAGAGCAGTGATGACACAATTTGCATTCCTGAAATAAATATGGCCCACATTCAGGCAATGCTTAGCTATTTGAAATCACTGGACTTAAACTTAGTTCTGTCCAGAAACCTATACCTTGAGCCAAAAACCTCACTTTCTTCACTTTTGAGATGAATAAAAGATATACAATTCTTTTAGGATATTTAAATAATATGTCTATGATTTCCATGTTTACACAAAAAAATTTACACAAGAAGTCATGTTGATGTGTTTCCATAAATACATCTTCAGGAGAATAGTAACTTCTGAAATTTAGAACATAGTTCATTATATTCTCTAATATGTTTAATATTGAACATTTAAAATATTTGCAGCTGTAGATTTCCTGGACTGAATTAATTTAAGTGAACAGTCCAAGTAGCATTCAATACTTTATAACTTGACAATAGGAAATTAAAAGAAACAAGATTATAGAAAGAATAAACTGTTTTCTTGATTTAGGGTAGCTGGCATGCTTATATCTATCTATATATGGTTAAAGAAATGAATTTAAGAAGATCTCTGTTTCTCCATGTGGTTTTATGATGACCAGGCTTGGGTTGCGAAGTCTAATGAGCAGCAGATGGCAGCAAGGATTTAATGTTTTTAAAATCTATATCTAGATTTATATTATATAGTACAATAGTTGTTGTAATTTTTGTAATCAAGGTCTGATAATATAAAAAATTCAAATGGTTTTTCGTTATTCCTGCCATTGTAGGCAAGGAGAAGCTGAGTATCACCCATCCTGGTATTAAACAACAAAAATTTGAATTAATTTATCTAATGTTAACCATTACTCCATCTGAGACTAAGATTAATTACAACTATAAATTAACCCTTTGTGAAGTTCTGTATCTGTAATTAGGATGACTGAGTTCTTAATCCCATGACAGAAGCACATTCAACTGACTGTAATGTGCTTCTACCTGGGTTACTATTGAGGAGGTGCACATGAAATTACTGAAATTAAAATTAAATTTAGCATGTTCTTATTTAATCAGCACAAATAAATTCATATGAAGTCTGAGACAAATCCCAGCTGTAAGAAATTGATATTAATTTAATTGGCTTCTCACAGTTGCTAGTGTTGGAAGTAAACTGGGATAGGTTTATTAATATAAATGAGCTATAAAATTAACTCCAGCATGCAAACAAAATCTAAAACTGATTAGCTCTTTTTGCTTGACTTTTGGGGAATCCAGAACTGTACAGCTTCCTTACCACAAACAGTATCAGTGGCTTATAGTTTCACAGCAGCACAAGGGAACAAGTCAGTTAATGATTTTTTTAGACCTTTGCATGGATAACAAATTGCATATGCTTATTTAATAAACATAATAAATATGTTCAATTTGAATATTTGCTGTGATTGATTATAGTTCTGGTTTGGGTTCACTTTATTATGCCATATTAAACTTATCTACATTGACCTACATTGTTATGTATTTCTAAGTAAGTCATTGAATCAGCCCTACTGAGCTGCAGAGTTCATTAGATAAACAAAACATTTTCAGTTAGCATGACTCTTCCTTACTTTCCTCTACCACTATACCAATGAGTCCTCTGACTGTTTCAGTGTGTTGTTATAGGCTATAGTAAAGATGTTAGATAAAGACTTGGGGACCCACAGAAGCAGATTTGATGAATGGGTAGATCTTTAGTTTTCAACTTATTTCACAAAGTAATTGTGAAAAGTGAAGTTCTATGTACTAGTGCTATTTAGTGCTTCAAATTCACTTCCCTAAAAGTGCTTCTGGGGACATGAACATAATTAAAGGAGTTATATTTTTCCCTGTATCATATGACAGTTCTAGACAACAGGGTCCAAGAAAAATCAAATTTCATTAAAGAATTGTAGACAAGATGCTCAATTGGCACTTCCATGTGCTCCAAGCTACTTTTTTGGAACTGAATCTGGAATACTTTATGGCCCACCCATGTACACCATCTTGAGTTCATATAGAAGAAGAAAGATATAAAGGACCAAAACATTAAAAAAAAAACAGTGGGATACAGTGGGATTTCAAAAAGTATAAAATTTAAATGGCTAAAATATATTTGCATACCTAGCATAATATACACAAACTGACAAGAGCTTCCAGTAGATAAGAAACGTTCAAATCCTTACAATCAATGATTCTAAGACTGAACATATCTTTCGGAAAAACCTATTGTTAGCAACTAGCACATGCACATTTAACAATAATTTTGTTTCTTGTATGTTTGCTTTCAAAATAATTAATATCTTATGTATAAGAGAATAAAAAGTTTTATCTCATTTTGTTGTGAGTTTTTCTTTTGCTCCCATTTATCTTTCTGCAAAAGCTAAAATCTAATAGTGTACCAGTAATAAAATTTTAAGAGAATTTACCTGATAATTTATTTAGTATCACAAAGTTTGATTTTTTTCTTCTATGACAGATGGTTTTATTTTCATATGTATATTATACTTCCCATGTAACAATTCCCTTTTTGCTCATATTAAACATTACAGTTTGGCAGAAAACCCAATCTTTTAAATGCAACGCTAGGATAAGTACTTGTAAGTTGTTCTAATTTTCTAATTATCCTTTTGGATCCACAAGGATTTAGAATGAATCTATGGAGACCTGAAAGTCCATGAATTGCAAGAATTCCAATACTGTTGCATGAAACAGCGTAGTCCAGGCTATGACCACAAAACACTGCATCACTTTTAAGTCTTCAGTGGTGGGTAGTCAAAAGACTGAGAGGTCCTTTGTGCAAGGAAAGGCTCAACAGTCCAGGTCCACTTGGGAACCTACATTACTCTCACATATATCTGTTCTCTGGATGCAGTTCTATACTCCATCTGCTGAAGACAGCTTGCATTGTAATATTGAATTCTGATTGTTTTGAACATGAGACAATCATCAGAAGGGGTTGCTGCTGCTTTTATCAGATTGATGAGACATCTTTCCCAGGCAGCTGATACCTGTTTAAGAGAGGAGAGCCACTGCTCTCAAAGGTGCCAGGTCTCAAGTCCTACCTAGAACTTAGTTGTCTAGGAAAATCCTCACAAGTGAAAAACCAAGTTCTCTCTCTCTTTACTGACACTTTTCCAAACATAGGAACCAGATGTTTGGTCTGAATGGTAGAGAAAATGGAAGATTTTAATTGTCAGTTTCCAAACTCACAAATCAGCTGATCCCCAGCACTGGAGAAATAGTAGTTAAGATAATAAAGTTTGGTTTGAAAGAAATGGACTTTTCCATTGTGTAAATCAGAATGATTCTGATCTACCAGATTTTCAATAGGTGGTCAGCTGATTTCTAATATCTCTGAAAGGTTTTAGCACGGCTATCAGGAATTGGCAGCTAACCATAATTCTCTGGCACATTAGCATTAGATCCCCTTATGTGCAATTATCCTCACCTCATACTGCACTGTTTTTCTCAGTTATCTGAAGGATTTGCCACTAACACCTCTCCAGGTTGAATCTGCCCTGAATGTGGAAATCAGTGCATGCCACCCAAGTTGAGCAATGTGCAATATAATCATTTATGTTGCCACACTGCCCTCTAGTGCCCTTGGGTGTGGAAACCAATAAATTTGGGTTTATCAAAGCAGCAGTGTGATAAATGCGTTGAAATGTGTCAAGGAACTTTTTGCCACTTCATGTAAATGCTGATTGAATAACTGCTGACTATTAGCATCTCTGGTATATAGGTACATAAGAGAGGAATACTTACACCCCAGAAGAGAGGCTAACTAAGCCCTATCTAACAGGATGAAATTCAATGGTGAGAAAAGGTTTTACACTTAGACAAGAAAAACCAAATGTAGAGGTACAGAATAAGTGGTACCAGGTCAATGGCAGTGACTGCAAGAGGGATCTAGGAGTCCTAGTGAACAATCACTTAAATATGAGCCAGCAGAGTGCTGCAAACACCAAATCAAGGTCATGTGAAGTGTTACTACTACTTTTGGTAGTAGTACCAAAAGTCACCATGGTATAAAAAGATGTTGAGAAGCTAGAAACAGTGCAGAGAAGAGCAACAAAAATAATTAGGGGGTTGAAGGCTAAACATATGAAGAATAGTTGCAGGATTAGGAGTGAGGAGTCAAGAGGGAGTCAATGCTATTCCCCAAAGCATCTGAAGGCAAGACAAAAAGCAGTGGAAGCAACTAATCAAGGGAGAACCAACATAAAATTCAGGAGAAATTTCCTGACAATGAACAATTAACCAGGGGAACAGCTTCCTCCAAAAGTTGTGGGTCTCTGACACTGGAGATTTTTTAGAAGAGATTGGACAGCCATTTGTCTGCAATGATATAGGGTCTCCCTTGAACAGGGGGTTGGACTAGAACAGGGGTCGCCAACCTTTTGGACCTCAGGGACCACCAAACTCATAATTTTAAATCCCAGGGATCACTAACCAGTTCTATGGGCATGGTCTAATTTGTGGGTGTGGCTTGGTGGTCATGTGATTGGCTGGGCATGCCTTGTATGTAAATATTATAAATATTTATATAAATATTGAATTTTTATAAAAAAGAGCAACTTTTACCCAAAATCAGGCAAAGCAAGCAAGCAGATTGAGTTGCTCACAGATTCATTCAGTGATCTATCTATCTGCCATTGGCTAGCTCAGTCTGTCACATAAAATTTGCTTGCCATGAGTCTGCACTGAATAGAAACTTCAGTCCTAAGGGAGGTTCGGCTGTGCTTAAAAGCAGAACCGAAGATCTAAAGACTAGCTAGAAAGCAAAAAATCCAACAATTTCCTGCATCCTAGCTAATCTAAATCTCCCAGCACAGCAGAACAGATGATAGTCAGAAAAAGGAAAAATAGCAATTTAGCAGGCAAGTTTGCTGGGTAAGGAGTGAGTGGGCAGGGAAGGTTCCCACGGGCCATGTGGGCAGCGCAGCCTTGTGTTTCTGCGCAGCCTGGATTAATTGCTTTGGTGGGGGGTGCTCTGGGGGTGATATTTCTCTGTGGCCCACCAAAATTTTCTCACGGCCCACCAGTTGGCGACCGCTGGACGAGAAGACCTCCAAGGTCCTTCCAACTCTGTTGTTCTGTTATTCTCTGTTATGTTAAGCATTAGAACATTATTTATCTTATTTGAAAAAAGAGATCTTACTAGAATATTGTTTAACTTATTTCAAAAGACTAAACTGAAAACTAGCATAGCTTTGTCATTTTACTTTAGTACAGTTCTATGCCTTTTACAACTGCAAAATAAATACATGGACTTCCCTTACTGCTTTTTAGATTAAATAAAAACTATTAACAGAAGCTTAATTTCTTAAGGGACTAACTGTCCAATAAGTATTGAGGAAGTATTTCCCCCCATGTCTTCTGATAAAAAGCAAATATGATAAGCATTACTAAAATTGGGATAAGTGACACATGTTTTTTAGCTGGTCATCATACTTAAAATGCCAAATACTTTCCTTCTCAAAAAGTAGCTGGTAGGCAATGACCTGTTACAGAACGTTTGTCTGCCATCAAAGCAGAAGAGTTTGCTGGTAAGAACACTTGAAGCTCTGTGGATCAGTGGTCGCCAACCAGTGGGCTGGGAACCACTGGTGGTCCATGAGAAAATGTTGGTGGTCCGCAGAGAAATGTCACCCCCAAAACACCCCCCCAAAGCAATTAATCCAGGCTGCGCAGGAACAGAAGGCTGCGCTGCCCACACAGGAACACAAGGCTTGCGTCGCTTGCATTGCAAACAGCTCTTAGTAGTAAGGGGAGGGGGGGAAACTTGCCCCACTTACCCCATGCGCCTGGCCTGGCCACTGGGCTGCTTCTTTCTTCTTATGCTTTTGGCTGCACACAAGGAAAGCAGCAGAAGTCTTTCTTTCTCTTCCCCAAACTCCACCAGAAATGAGTCTTTGGGATCCTGCAAGGCATCCTGCTCCAAGAGACTGAGCCAGAGCGACAAGTCTCAGAAAGACTCATTTCTGGTGGAGTTTGGGGGAGAGAAAGAAAGATTCTGCTGCTTTCCTTGCATGAAGCCAAAAGTCTCTTCCCCCCCACCCCCACAAGAACAGAGCTGGAGACAGTATCCTGCGATCCCAAATAAAGAATGATCAATCGGTAGGAAAACAGGATGGGGAATTTTCCTGCAGACATTTTTTTGGGGATTTTCCCAGGGTCTCTGGTCCCTGGGATTTAAAATTATGAGTTTGGTGGTCCTTGAGGCACAAAAGGTTTCAGACCCCTGCTGTGGACTACAGATATTCCATCCCACCCTGCACTGAAATCTACAATATTTTGAAATTTTATTAAGTATTAAAAACAAGACCTGGATCAGACCGAGCCCATCCAACTAAGTAATAAGATTAAACTATGTGTGGTTTTTTTGTTATTGAACAAACCAGCACAATGTGGAAGTTAAGGTGTCAGAGCAATCTGGTTCTGGTATTTGTGGGTAATCTGATTAGTGGGACTTCTAAGCTATTTTTTTCAACAACTCACTTAGCATCATATTTCTCTGCCTTTCACTGTTTCAGTACAATTAATTGCAAGGACAGAATTTTTAGACAAACTAAAACTTTCTAATTCCTCGATCATTTCAGAGCCAATTTCTTCTATTCATCATACTCAAGACATCAGCCTTTTACCCTCAACCCAGATAACAGGAAATTCTCATCCTAGGCTGCCACACTATTGATGGGGCAAATCCAAGGACAAGAACACAAAGAAACAAATATATGAAAATATCTCTGCAAAGCTCTGCAATTCCTAAATTAAGTTATATTAGAAACATATTGTGGTCCAAAAGGTTGGTGACCCCTGCCTTAGGGCATTTCTGAAGTTAATGTGGAGTTGAGATTTTATACTTATGTTTGTCACGACTGTATTTGAAGATATTTTTTTGTAGATTGGTATACTGTTGTGCTAAAACAGAAGAAGAGCTCAATCTGCAGATCAGTGGTGGTATTCTACCGGTTCGGCCCGGTTCTGCCGAGCCGGTAGCAGCAATGAGTAGTGGAGACCAAACCAGATCTCTCCGCTGCTCTGCTGTTAGGCCCACCCACCTGTCTGGGCTCCCATACTCACTTTTATCCAGGGGTGGGATTCAAATTTTTTAACAACTGGTTCTGTGGGTGTGGCTTGGTGGTCATGTGACTGGGTGGGTGTGGCTTGGTGGTCATGTTATTGGCTGGCCATGGCCAACTCAATATCAGTCACATAGAGACACACATCTCCTCAACTGGCCTCTCATGACTGTGGGGATACTGCAAACAGTCGTAAGTGTGAAAAATGGTCATAAGTCACTTT